ATGAATCTTACAAAAGTACGATTAACAACGGATGTGAAAAATGTAAACTGAAAGGAATAATGAGAAATGAAGATTGCCTTCATACTGTTCCCATCCGGCTATCGAAAAAAAGCGGGAGGAAAATGTTGCGAAAGAATTGCTACGTAACGCGTTTTGGTATTATTCAAAGAGAAAGAAAAGAAAGAGGATGGAGGGTAGTAGAACGCGTATTAATGTATCTTTTCGGTGATGAACAAGCGTCTGGGACCGGTAAGAAAGAGAGTTGGGGGGAATGAGGCGGTATTTTCTCATCTGGTCGACCCTCCTTCCAGAAAGATTAAAGTCTCCTTTGAAGCGGCGTTTCAAAAATTCGTTCCGTACTCTCCAATAATTTCACCCTTGATTTGAGTGGCCGCGAAGCTCCGATCGATCTTAGGAAATTATCGTACACCGTGAAGTATGAAAGCTCTTGCAACCTATGGTCCACGTCGATATGTATCAGAAAATAATAAATTACTTTTTAAGGCGTAGAATGTTCGCGTTGTTCGCTACGATCGAAGAAGACGATTGATGGCAAAGACATTTACGAAAATTTCTTAGATCATCTTCTGGTTATTTGTGTGATGAAACATTGGAAAAGTAATGATTATTCAAACGACGTTATTGCTTATCTTCTTTATTATTTTTTAACACTACAATTCCCAAAATTGGCCAAAATGACCAATTTATAATTTTTGTTCGAGATTTTATGATTGTAATACTTTAAATGATTTTTCGTATAAAATATATAAAAGCTTGTGTAATTCATTGTATCACAAAGCTTTCTCATTTTGTTTTTTATTTTCATGTCTCTGGTGGACATTTTATGCTTCAAGTTCGCTAGTTCCAGTGTTAAATAATTATCAAATTATCAAATTGTTTCGTTATTTGATTGTCAAATAATAAAATTTTTTTACTTTATTTGATATCATAGGAATTGAAGAATACGTTGCAAATGCATCTTGAAATAATCTCCCATTCTCTGTTTCTATTATGTCAATTGCCATCAGAAATATATAGAACTTGTACTACGTTAGTATCTCTCGTACATAAATTCACAGACATAAAATCAGAGGCAATTAAAATAGTTAATTAGTTATAATTTAATTAAAATAGTTATAATTTAATTAATTTTAAAGTTCAAATTACTTGTTATTCCATTCGAAGGAATTGATTAAAGTAAACAAATCCTGTAGTTACACAAAAATTGTTTTTTAACTTTTCTTAACATTTCTATTCGAGTAACCTTGATAGAAAGAAAGAAAACGTAAATGAATTATCAACAATATCACACGTACACAACAACGGGAAAAATATCTTTATTGATAAATTATGTGAAAAAAATGCGCTTGGAAAGAAGTTTCGCTTCGAGAAAAGAAGAGAAGATAAAAACAAACAGAATCTTGATTACTGGATCTTCAAATTAGTCGACATTCTTTTAGAAAGTTACCGCTAATTTCTTAGAAAATAGCCACAGACAATCCCCATTAATTCACAAGAACAAATCACTTTCATTTAGTAATAGAAGCTAAAAACTCTCTGGCAGTGTGGCAGTATTACAAAGAAAACAGGCAGTTCGGATTCACCTCGCTTGCGAAATATTCTTCGACATTAGCCTGGACTTTTATTGAAATACGTAATATTTACTGGACAGCGCGCGCAGAGGGTGGAGCAGAGAACATCGCAGAGGGAATGCACAGCCGCGTGAAATAAAGTTGTATCCTGTGATCACCAATTCGGGTAAATGCTTGTCATTAATTCAGAGAGATTTCTCGAGAAGGGGAGAAACGGAGTCTGGCAGAGAAGGGGATTGAAAGAAACAGAATGGGATTACTACTACGATGCTTGGTAAACTCGCGCAGGATCGGACGATCCCCCTTGCACGTTGCCTCCGTTCGTAAATTGTTTTATCTGCTGTATTATTGCATTTACCTCGACTCTCGATTCGTTGTATTTGCCAATTAGTCTCGTTCATCGGAATCTCCTTGCAAATTATGTTCGAAAACGCACGTTCACTTGATTCATCGATTAAACTGCGATTAACTAGATACTCAACATCTACCGATCAATTTGATACGATTATCATCACATAATACATCAAAGGTGATTCAGTGGGACGTTTCAACAGAGACACTCCAACTATCTGATTAATGCACACACCCTAATTTCCATAATGCCTGTCCGAGAATTACACAACTCTGTCCGTCCGTGAAAACATGTCGAATTTTCGACTCTCCTGACTTTATCTCCGTAGTCACCGTGGAATTTGCCTTGATGGTAATGACGCTACAAGCGTGGATTCCTCCAAGAGTGCTTGTCAAGAAAATTTGATTCAACGATCGTTGGAATTACGTAAGATGTTACTTGTTACTATTGCGCAAATAAAAATTGTAGCCTGACGTATTTATTTAACAATATCGACTACCGTTTGCAAGAAAAAACTTTGCCCAAAGTGTCAGTAACAAGGAATAAATTAAATTTAATCGTTCGTTATCCTATGATAAAACAATTTGCGTGTGCAAATGTCGATATTCATTTATACTCTCACAATCCATAGTTCTCTTATATACCAGAGCTATGTGTGGTTATTTTACAAAATTTTGCAACGGAGATTTTCAATTGTTATTTGCTTTAGCTCACGTGTCACAACATGAAACGGAGTCCCGATAACTGTTGGCCGCAGGCTGCCCAGTGATTAGATCCGCTACTGTTCGTAGTTAAAACGATAGAAATTAAAAGCTTTCTGGCAATTTACTCGCCGAAGATAAATGCATCACTGCCGAGGTGAAAGCATGGAGTACGTGAACAAATAGGAAGCCATTTCCTTGCGCCCAAAAATTGATTCCACATGCCGGGTAAAGGTAGCTACGATGATTTTCAAGGAGACGGTTCACGATGGTGCTGAAGCTATTTAAGGGTGAACATGAATCAGAAAAATATGAATCGTTCGATTTAACAATCGTTCGGTACTATTAGATTGTTGCAAAATACCCGATTTAACAAATGCGTAACGTTATTTTAAACATACTGTTGAACAATATAGTTCAAAACTAACCAAATGTAATATAATTGATATTTCCTTCGACTAAAATATATTATGGATCTATATTGAATTCGAAACTTCAAACACTGTTCAGATGCACTAAAAGTGATTTCAATGACGATTAATTGAAAGTTTTAATAACTGTATTATTTTACAACGCTGTTTTACAATAATCAAAACGTATTGAATGTCTCAATCTTAATTTAATTAATACACGAACGGTGATTTTCATTGTATCTACTTTAAAATTAGACAATGATAAGAATATAATGACAAAAATATAATTATACTTATGTGATAATTAAATTATACTCTATTACGTTGTTTTATTATTACAATATTATTTTATTATTATTATTTTAATATTATATAATTCTAAAGGTCAAAAAAATGCTTTCTTTTGTTTTTAATATCGTCACACATATAATATTCTTATTACAAGCTACATTATTCTTTGGTGAGGGTAAATCCAATATTTTTGGCTCTGACAGAACAAGATTTGAATTGGTAAAACCGGACATCAAAGTGGAAATTTTCAACCAACGGTGAAACATGGCAGTGGCTTAGAGGCGTACAATAACGTAGGAAATTGTGCATTTATTCATGAAACAGTGGATGCTCAGAAATATATAAATGTGTTGCGAAATAATTCATTATGAACTGTAATTAAATTAGGTGTAATCGAAACATTTCGTGACAACGATCCCAACCACATGGCCAAAAGAACAGGAGAGTGACTGTGTTACTACACCATCGTATCAGATATAAAGCCAATTGTATATTTGGAATATTTGTAAACAATGTAAAAATTGGAGAAGATGAAGTAATAAAGAATGTAATTTTATGGGAAATTATTCGAATCTCAAAAAATGGAACGTTGTAAATCTAAAAGAATTGTTCTTCATGGAAAATTACGAGTTGGTCATTCTGACCATTTTGATAGTTCTAGAATTAAACACTTCATTTGTGTGTATATAGTAAACGTAATTTCTAATCAAGTCACAAGTATACTTTTTCAATCACCAAATTTTCATTTTTCTTTCATAACTTCTTTATACTGCATCGTCTGCACGTTAAAAGACATGATCACTTTAATAAATTTCACATTTTCTATTCTTTAAAAAAAAAAAGAAGAAGATAGGCCAAATACTTTTTCAATTCCCTTCGTTCTCCTTCTTCTCTCTGGTATTTTTTTATAAACACTGTGTACTTTATACCTAATATAAAGGAAGATGATTCGATTGTTTTCATCGAAGATAAAAAATAGAAGATATGAAACGTAAGCTCGCGTATATAGCTGACGTGGGATTTTTCCGAACGCGACTCTCACGAGGTTTATTTAGCCGTGGTTTCAAGGAAAATCAGGAAAGAGAAGCGGAATCGATATTTCCCTCGGTTTTTCGACTCGGGGCTTAGACACTTTCATTCACGACGATTCCCCTCTGCACGTCGATACGTCGACGTTTTACACTAACGCGGCCGAAATACATCATCGCAGATGATACGGAAAAAAACTGAGATGGCTCGACGGCTCTCCATAAAGGCCGACGACGATCGTTCGATCACGTCCAGACTCCTAAAGCCGCCGTTACATTTTATTACAGAGGCTGCCACTCGGCCTGGCGCACTTTGCGAAAATTTATTCGTCCCTATGATTTTCAAATGGGGGAAGGTCTTACGCCGACAAAACGGATACATTTCCCTGGAGGTTAGTTTCGAAGAAGTCAACACTGCTTAATTTTTTCTTTTTTTTTTTTTTCAATCTCTCTTGCTGCATATTAACGTGTATGTTAGCAGAGTTCGTTCATATCACGAAACGGCCAAATTTAAATGAAATTTAACGTCTAATTGTCTAATTGCTAGAATTAAAAAAATTGAAATACTAAGAGGTTTTATTAACCCTCGGACACACGTGCGAAACATTGATTTCCGCTTTTGTATAGATTTCGAAGAAAGAAATATGTAAGTCAGCGATAATTCTAACGTCAAGCTAGACCTAATTCTAGAGTTAATTAATAATAAATTAATTAAATTTTAGAGTAAGTTAATAATAAATTAGACTTTTGTCTGTAGCTTCAATATTCTTATCAAATGTCTAACTAGCAACTTACGCGTTCATAATGGTCTCCAGTTTGCTGTAAAGTTCCCTCCGGTGTCTACGTTGCAAGTAGTAATAATCTGACTTGTGGTACTTCCTCTTGCCAGGCTTCACGTAATATTTATCGTTACCGTTCCATCCGGAATACTTCATCACGTTCTTGTTGATCGCGTATTTCTTCGCTGGTTTAATTTCGTCGCGTCTCAACTGCAAGAGAGGCTCAAGAGCCGGTTTGCTTTCGTTCGGTAAATCGTAAGAGATACCCCAATTGATGCCCTCCGTGAAAATGTCATCGTCCGGCGTTTCTGTGTGCGTCGTGAGACACAGCGCGACCTACATGTAATAACAGAGGGAACGATCAATGCGAATATTCTGCTACTACCTTCCGTAAATTGCAATAATTCAAGCGACGAACGGATCGAATTCATTACGCGGCATTATTCATGCGATTGCCGATCGCTGTAAATTTTAACATACAAGTTATATAAGCATCCTGCAGGCCAGGCAACCGCGATTGTCGCAGGAACCGATCTAACTCATGTTTGATTCAGTGTTTTCTAACAGATCTCCTGTATAAAACGTTAAAGGTACATACACACACACATCTCAAAGTGAGAGATGTTTCAAATAGAGTTTGAATGATTACAGAAGAAGAATATTTTCTTTTGATCGAGATCACTTTTCACGATCTTTTGCTAGATAGTGTGTGTGTACTACACATAGTCAAACGTGTTTAATACATGATCTTGAATCGAAATTCTGAAACAAATGTTAGGATAGTGTGTGAATTTATTTTTGATGTCATAAATAATAAAAATGTCTGTCGATCACGAATTGTGACATTTGTCGTACCGTTTCGGACTCTTTTTTTCTTTAAATTCGTCAATCGAAGATCATATTCTTATAACATAAAATTTTCTGAAATGTCAACGATAACATACCATGAAATAAAAAAGCATAGGATTCTATTTAAGAAAATGGCGATCAGCTTGAAATCTCAAGAAATATCTTCATCTAAAAATTTTACCTACTGAAGTCAGATTTCATCCTTAAATAATACAAGTTTTATTTAAGTCCTTTTGTAAATATTTGAAGTAATCAAGTTACGACGAAAATATTTAAAGTAATCAAGTTAGATGGAACAGCCTGCATTGTATAGAAATACGGCGAATGAATGTTACAATGAACATCAAAACCGCAACTGAAATCGTCACCACGTAGTATTAAGCAAATTAAGTTCATCGTGTAAGTAAACTTAAACTTACAGAGAATGTTGAACCTTCTGGGAAGACGATGTATCGCCTTTTTCTTGACAAACGAGCGTCACCGTCTGAGTTGACTTGATAATTACTCAACAAGACGCAAATCATTAAAAGGAGGAAACAATGTTCGATCCGATTCATGTCTCGCTGTGACTCTGAAAAAGAAACGACGAAAAGTTAGTCGTCCTTGGAAAATTTCAGTATAAAATATTTCAGAGAACACTTTAAAAAATATATTATATATTTAAAATATTTATAAATTATATATATTTATTATATGCTTATGTATAATATATTGAATATATGTATTTAAACTTTACTAATATTTAAAGTAATATATATATATATTACTTTATATATATATATATATTAATAGAATATTCATAAATACAAATATTTTATAAATAAATCTAAGAATATACATGTTTAATGTAAATTATACGATACTTAATATAAATACATATTTCGTGAAGATTACAAAAAATATGTAAACAATCTCAATCCATTGTATCAATTTTCAATTGTAACATGCTTGAGATACTTATTTCGTTGTTAACTTTCGTTTTAATTTTTATATTGTATATTAATTTTTTATTAAACACATGTTTTATAATTTTAACGATATTACGCTATATCTACTATATGTATGTACAAATTTCATTTACACGTATAGTAAGTATACTGTTCGTCGAAACAACAAAAGTTTATTAATCCTTTAAACGTGGGCAATTTTCAAATTTTCCTGTACAAACTCGCGGACAAAATTTATGTCTTGTATATTCATCACACATTTATCACACAGGGGGTTAATGAATGAAAATATTTCTTCGTTTATTTTCATTACAATAACAATGCGAAACAGATCGAAATAAGTAGAGAAATATTTGTAGTTATTAACTGAGAGCTTGTAACTTGGAAAATTCATCTGACAGAGAAATAATGTTCAGGTGTTCGAAAAATTCAGTGCGACGTGATGTGATAATAGAGTGACTCGCTGCGGTTGAAGGACGTTAAATTTAAAACGACTAGCCATCAAATTCACATTATTTTTCTTCTAGTATCGCTAACTTTCAAATTTCCCCATAAATAGAAATATAAAAGTGTAAGATTGAAATGCACACCTACGTATTCGTGACTTTATATGTCACATTTTTATTATAACTTTTAATGATGCATTTATAGAGTTCCTTTAGTCTTATTTGTATCTATCGAAACATTATGGCAAAGTTCAAACACTAAATACTGAAATACCAAAGTTAGAAAGATATCTTGTGAACGAAAATATAATAAACCAAAGCGGGTTTTACATTTAGATGATCTTTTACAAATATATTTCTTATTATATCATTTTTAATAACTAATTACAACGATTTACATCGTTGTGTCTATCTGGAAGAGAAAAATAAAAAATGAATTTAATCTTAAATCTTCATTACCATCACTTTTGTAAGTAAAGTTTTCTTTCGTCTAACGAAGTTGTAAGTTAATAAATTTTTTATTGATATAGTTGTCATTCTGTTAAAAAGACTCCTTTTTTATTTCATTCTATAAGAACAGAAAAATCACGCTGTATCGTCTTAAAATACAACCAAACAGATATACAAAATCTCAAATCGATTATAATTTTTTATCCAATGAATCACGTGAAATCTACGGTTTCGAAATGGGACTGGAAATAAGATTTCTTTCCAAGACTAACGTTTAATGATCGAAAAATGAAATATCTCAGGCAAACGAACCAAAGTATCAAAACCATCAGCGTCAAGTGAACGAACGTCACTTTTACCTCTCTCGACTTCCACAAACTTTGCACTTCCACGACGTCGTTTACTGTTCCCCAGCAACTGCATCAAGTAAACGCGAAACACGGATGAACGACGACAGTTGAACTCCATTTAGTATTTCATACTGCGTTCTAATTACAAACGACGAGACGAATAACCGGACTGTAATAAAGCAAGTCGATCGAATTTACGAAGAACGAAATAAACCGTCGGCGATTTAGCGAGACGAGACTCGAGCAAAGGCGTGTATGAACACCATCTCGTTGAAGGACATTTCATTAATCCGAGTTTCAAGCGACGATACGAATGGCCAACGAGCCAGTTTCCCTTTGCTTCCCAGTCGACCGACGGTTTTCGAATCACGGTGATTTATTTTATTTGTCGACCGAGCCAGCTTGCATGGGAACTTCTTCTCGTCGTGAAGGAATTGTGAAGGAATTATCTAACTTTCCGCGGGCGAGTCTCGCCATAAGCCGCGACCGCTTAGAGATCGTTCAACCACTTTGCCAGAAATAAAAGGAGCACAAGGTCTGTCCTTTAATTTAATTTGCGTGTTTCATTTAATTTGACTTATTTACTTATCAATGGGAGTGCACAACGTAACACAACGAAAGAAGAATTGTACACTCGGACGTGACGATGTGATTAATGATGTAATTATTGGTATTATTTAAAGGTTAGAGTTAATCTTTTGGTATGAAGAGATGTAAGGCGATAATGTAAGTAATACGTGTTACAAGTAACATATATTACAAGTTAACGTACGATATGTATACCAGAGAAATATTTAAATTCTGTATCATACGGTATACTATATCACACGAAATTTATTGCGTTTTACGTTCATTGGCCATTTTCCTGATTTCTTGCTATTGTGATCCTACAGTCTTATGTATCTTAATTGTTAACATTAAGTAACTATTCTCACAAGTCATATTCTTCATCTTGATTATTATCAGTCAGACTATTTCTTATATGCAATATAATCGAGGTACAATAACATTATAATTTAATATATAATAGATTTTATAATTCGTCTTCTTCCACAATACCATGACACGTAATAACAGTATTCTTCCTTACTTTTTTTTTATATTTTTATTATTATATCTTATTAGGATTAAATATAATACACAGGATTATTGTCACTATTATTATTATTATTATTAATTATTATTATTATTACTACTATTATTATTACTGCTATTATT